CTTGTACATTTATATGTAAACTTGAATTTGTTTTGTCAGGATCTGTGTTCATGTATATAGATGTTTTGATATGTGTTTAAGACTGGCTTTATTATTGATATGTTGCTTTTATATAAATATGTATACTTGCATTTTTGTCAGGGTATGTCTTTGTATATAGATGTTATGATGTGTGTTAGAGACCGGCTTCATAAGTGATATATGCTTAAACATAAATGTGTGTACTTGCATTTATTTTGTAATAATATATGTTTATATATAGATGTTTTGGTATGTGTTTAAAATCATAAAGCATAATTCTATCACCAAAATTATATTTTTTCTTAAAATTATACATTTTTTGTCATTAAACATACTACCATGTATTATGAGAATGACCTAACAGGTATTTTAAGGTCCTTTTGTGCCTCCCTAGGAAATATTTTAAGGTCTTTTGTGCCTCCCTAGCAGTCCTTTGCGCACCTGAGCAGTCCTTAGCAGTCCTGCAACTCATCGAAAGCATAAATTCTATCACTAAAATTATATTTTTTCTTACAATAATACATTTTTGTCTATTAACTTACTACCATATATTATGAGAATGTTCTAGGAGGGATTTTTAAGGTCCTTTGTGCCTCCCTAGCAGTTGTAAGTGCACCTGAGCAGTCCTTAGCGGTCCGGCAACTCATCGAAAGCATAAATTCTATCACCATAATTATATTTTTTCTTAAAAATTATACATTTTTTGCCACTAAACATACTACCATATATTTATAGGAATGCCCTAACAGGTATTTTAAGGCCCTTTGTGCATCCCTAGGAAATATTTTAAGTTCTTTTGTGCCTCCCTAGCAGTCCTTTGCGCACCTGAGCAGTCCTTAGCGGTCCTGCAACACATCGAAAACATAAATTCTATCACTAAAATTATATTTTTTCTTACAATAATACATTTTTGTCTATTAACTTACTACCATATATTATGAGAATGTTCTAGGAGGGATTTTAAGGTCCTTTGTGCCTCCCTAGCAGTTGTAAGTGCACCTGAGCAGTCCTTAGCGGTCCGGCAACTCATCGAAAGCATAAATTCTATCACCAAAATTATATTTTTTCTTAAAATTATACATTTTTTTTCCCTAAACATACTACCATGTATTATAAGAATGCCCTAACAGGTATTTTAAGGCCCTTTGTGCCTCCCTAGGAAATATTTTAAGGTCTTTTGTGCCTCCTTAACAGTCCTTTGCACAACTGAGCAGTCCTTAGCGGTCCTGCAACTCTTCGAAAGCATAAATTCTATCACCAAAATTATATTTTTTCTTAAAATTATACATTTTTTGTCACTAAACATACTACCATGTATTATAGGAATGCCCTAACAGGTATTTTAAGGCCCTTTTTGCCTCCCTAGGAAATATTTTAAGTTCTTTTGTGCCTCCCTAGCAGTCCTTTGTGCACCTGAACAGTCCTTAGCGGTCCTGCAACTCATCGAAAGCATAATTTCTATCACAAAAATTATATTTTTTCTTACAATAATACATTTTTGTCTATTAACTTACTACCATATATTATAAGAATGTTCTAGGAGGGATTTTAAGGTCCTTTGTGCCTCCCTAGCAGTTGTTAGTGCACCTGAGCAGTCCTTAGCAGTCCGGCAACTCATCGAAAGCATAAATTCTATCACCAAAATTATATTTTTTCTTAAAATTATACATTTTTTGCCACTAAACATACTACCATGTATTATAGGAATGCCCTAACAGGTATTTTAAGGCCCTTTGTGCCTCCCTAGGAAATATTTTAAGGTCCTTTGTGCCTCCCTAGCAGTCCTTTGTGCACCTTTAGCGGTTTTGCAACTCATCGAAACATAAATTCTATCACTAAAATTATATTTTTTCTTACAATAATACATTTTTGTCTATTAACTTACTACCATATATTATAAGAATGTTCTAGGAGGGATTTTAAGGTCCTTTGTGCCTCCCTAGCAGTTGTAAGTGCACCTGAGCAGTCCTTAGCGGTCCGGCAACTCATCGAAAGCATAAATTCTATCACCAAAATTATATTTTTTCTTAAAATTATACATTTTTTTTCAATAAACATACTACCATGTATTATAAGAATGCCCTAACAGGTATTTTAAGGTCCTTTGTGCCTCCCTAGGAAATATTTTAAGGTCTTTTGTGCCTCCTTAGCAGTCCTTTGCGCACCTGAGCAGTCCTTATCATCGAAAGCATAAATTCTATCACTAAAATGATATTTTTTCTTTAAATAATACATTTTTTGTCACTAAACATACTACCTTGTACCAAAGAATGCCCTAGGAGATATTTTAAGATCCTTTGTGCCTCCCTAGCAGTTCTTTGTATATCTGAGCAGTCCTTAGCGGTCCGGCAACTCATAAAATTTGCACCAAAATAATATTTTTTCTTAAAAATATAATTTTTTTTTCACTAAACATACTACCATGTATTATAAGAATGCCCTAGGAGGTATTTTAAGGTCCTTTGTGCCTCCCTAGTAGTCCTTTGTGGCTCCTTAGCAGTCCTTAGCGGTCCTTAGCAGTGTTTAGTAGGACCCAAATTTATTGTCCAGAATTACAACAATGGACGAATAAATGAGTGATTCAATAAATGAAAGCAGTGCTCTAGATAGCAACAGGGCGATTTGAATGACTAACTCGCCTGTCTGAACTTTGTCGAGTTTAAACATCAAACAAAATGGACTTTGTTGCTCTTTTTTACTTTACTGCATTTGTTGAGTTTGAACATCAAATTGAGGCAATCTACCGGATTAGACCCCTATGTATATTTCAGAATTAAAACTTGTACATCAAATCAAAATGAACTTCGCTGCTCTTTTTAGCTCACCTGTCACAAAGTGACAGGGTGAGCTTTTGTGATCGCTTTTCGTCCGGCGTCCGTCCGTCGTCCGTCCGTCCGTAAACTTTTGCTTTAAATGACATCTCCTCATAAACCACTGAGCCAATTTCATCCAAACTTTACAGGAATGTTCCTTTGGTGGTCACCTTTAAAAATTGTTCAAAGAATTTAATTCCATGCAGAACTCTGGTTGCCATGGCAACCGAAAGAAAAATCTTTAAATATCTTCTTTTAAACAACCCTAAGAGCTAGAGCTTAGATATTTGGCATGAAACATCTTCTAGTGAGTGTCTACCAAGTTTGTTCAAATAAAAGCCCTGGGGTCAAAATTGGCCCCGCCCCAGGGGGTCATTGATTTTCCCTATATGCATATAGTAAAAAACTTAAAAAATCTTCTTTTAAAGAACCCAAAGAGCTAGAGCTAAGATATTTGGCATGAAACATCTTCTAGTGAGTGTCTACCAAGTTTGTTCAAATTAAAGCCCTGGGTCAAAATTGGCCCCGCCCCAGGGGTCATTGATTTTCCCTATATGCATATAGTAAAAACTTAAAAAATCTTCTTTTAAAGAACCGTAAAGGCAAGAGCTTAGATATTTGGCATGAAACATCTTCTAGTGAATGTCTACCAAGTTTGTTCAAATAAAAGCCCTGGGGTCAAAATTGGCTCCGCCCCAGGGGGTCATTGATTTTCCCTATATACATATAGTAAAAACTTAAAAAATCTTCTTTTAAAGAACCCAAAGAGCTAGAGCTAAGATATTTGGCATGAAACATCTTCTAGTGAGTGTCTACCAAGTTTGTTCAAATTAAAGCCCTGGGGTCAAAATTGGCCCCGCCCCGGGGGGTCATTGATTTTCCCTATATGCAAATAGTAAAAACTTAAAAAATCTTCTTTTAAAGAACTCAAAGAGCTATAGCTAAGATATTTAGCATGAAACATGTTCTAATGGGTGTCTACCAAGTATGTTCAAATAAAAGCCCTGGGGTCAAAACTGGCCCCGCCCGAGGGGGGTCATTGATTTTCCTTATATGTCGTAATGTGTATAGCAAAAACTTAAAAATCTTCTTTGAAAAAACCCAAATAAGCTGGAGTTTAGATAGTAAGCATGAAACATCTTTAAGTAAATATCTACAAAGTTTGTTCAAATAAAAGTCCGGGGGTCAAAACTGGCCCTGCCCCAGGGGTGTCATTGTTTTTAACTATATGTGTATAGTAAAAACTTTAAAAATCTTCTTTTAAAAAACCCAATGAGCTAGAACTTAAATGTTTAGCATGAAACATCTTCTTATGGGTGTCTACCAAGTCTGTTCAAATAAACAAATAAAAGCCCTTGGGTAAAAATTGGCCCGGGGCTGGGGGGGGGGGCTATATACAGGTGAGCGACCTCAGGGCCATCATGGCCCTCTTGTTTACTTACTGCATATACAGGTATTTTTGTACTATTCTGAGCTTGTCAATGAATTTAATCCTAATCTCTGGGGGTAACAAAAACTTAACTGGTGATAACTCAGTTACTGCCAATATTTGACTGCAATTTACATACTTATGTGACATGTCAGATATGCAGCTGTATTAGACATAGTGACACTGTAATTTGCAGACTTCCCGAAAGTTAAAAAAAACTGTCAGACATTCGGTCTGACAAACCATGAAAATCTGTCGGACCGAAACGAAATCTGTCAGACCAAATAAAATTGATCAAAATCAAAGAAAAACTTGTGTTTGTATTTCTAAGACACTTTTTGTTTTTAATTTTTTCGCCGTAAAAATCGGCACATTCCGTACAGTGCATTTTCATCTCCTCCCTGTTATACACCAACGATTCATGGTCCTCCTTCCATTTTTCATTAAATTTTGTCTCAGGTCTATTCTTTTCATCCTTTTATTGCTGTTCTGCGCGCTCCTCTGACGAAGATTTTCGTTTTTCCCAGGTTTGGCAGCTTTAGCGACGCCATTTTGTATACATGCGGCTTGGATAAAAGCCGGACATTCGGACCGATCCGGAATAAAAAATCGTCGGACATGATCAAAATTTATCGGACATGTCCGTCGGACCGACGTATTTCGGGAAGTCTGAATTTGATGTAGCCTAAACATTGCAATTAAATGAGCATAATTCTATTATAATTTTTATTCTGTAGGTTTAATGTTGATGGGGAACAGAAATATTTAGCTGAAGTGCAAGAACTGATCCGACCAGAGAGAAATACACTGACTGTAAGTTTTGAAGATGTTGAAAAATATAACCAGCAGCTTGCCACAGCTGTTCTAGAGGAATATTACAGGTAATTGAAATGCCCAGAATTTTGATCTATTTAAATTTAGCAAAATATTATTTTTTTTACTTTTAGAAAGGCTTCTTTGATAGTTTCCTTAAACTGGCTGTCTTAAACCTATGGCCTCTTTCTGTCTAGTTGAAGGTATTTAAAGCTGTGATTTATCTTCATGTGGTTCAAGCACCATATAAAGATAGAAATTTTCACAACCCTGTATGTGTGCTCATGCAAGTTTTAGTGTATTGTAGCCTAAAATATTGATAAATGCCTTGAAAATGAGAATTTTTGTGGATATTTTGGCCTTTTAGAAGTATATAGAATTTTGTAGGATACAAGTTTATGGAATACTAGGGTAAAGAATAGCATGATCCCTTTTACCCAGTGTAATGCTTGCTGTTCTTTCCAACTGTATAGCTTTAACAAAAAGAAAGACAATGGTGTTATTTGTATCCACATGAAGTAGAAAATTTCTTAAGTTCTGTTGATTTTTGAATGAAGACTTTTTATTAAGATTTTATTTATAACATATTTTAGTGGAGATTTTCATTAAAAGGTCAGTGTTATTTATGTTGGTAAGTTGTGTTTATTTTCAGAGTGTACCCATATTTGTGCCGAGCAGTACGCAACTATGCCAAAGATTGGGGACAGATCCCACCCAATAAAGAATTTTATGTCAGTTTCATTGATGTTCCATCCAGGCTAAAGTAAGGTTCTAAATATGATGTAGTTTAATGTATAAAACTCTTTTCGTTACTTGAAATGCTAATTGGTTGTTTGCATAAGTCCTATAGTTAAGATTTAGAAAAAGCATTTGAATTTTGCAAACTTTTTGAGAGAGTAACAATTCAAATCTAGGTGTATGGAATCTTCTGCAGAGACTTAGAAAATTTTTAAGATATGAATTGTATTGACAACTTGATGGCTCTTTATTGATGGTATTTAAAATTTTGATGTTTCTTTTTAATCAGAGTAAGAGAATTGACCACAGCTAAGATAGGGACCTTACTACGTATAACTGGTCAGGTTGTACGCACCCACCCTGTACATCCAGAGCTTGTCAGTGGCACATTTATGTGTCTGGAGTGTAGAACTATTATCAAAGATGTTGAACAACAATTTAAATTCACACAGGTTTGTTTTTATCTTGAACATTATTTGTGGTCATTAAGTTCTTAACCAATGCTATTTTAATATCCTTATTAGTCATTGAGAGAGGAATGATTTTAAATAAGGATAAAATGGTCAAAAGAATGTTTTCATAATTGCTTATGTGCATGAATTTCAGGGAATAGTTCCAGTTACAGCACAGAAACATCCCTATGGCTATCTTCTATATTTAATTAAATATGAAAAAAATTTCTTACTGTTTTAACAGATTTTATTAACTTGTGCAATTAGCAGTGTTCTACTGGTCTTGTTAATGAAGTAACGGTACATTGTTTGATGTTTAAGGTTTTTGTTAAAAAAACTGTTATATTTCGTTAAGTGATTTTGTTTTTTACAACAGCCAAGTATATGCAGAAACCCAGTATGCAACAATAGGTCAAAGTTCATGCTAGATGTGAACAAGTCACGATTTGTAGACTTCCAGAAAGTTAGAATACAGGAAACCCAAGCTGAGTTACCTCGAGGAAGCATACCTAGGAGGTAAGTTGTTCCTCTATTTTCAGGTTAATTTGCCTTGGGGGGTGGGGGAGCTCTGTGCTGATTGTGAACTTGCTAAATGTCTTTTCTGGATATTTTCCTGTCATCTTCCTAGTGGTAGTCATACCAGAAGTTTATTTGTTATACCCCCGCACAACAAAGTTGTAAGGGGGGTATACTGGAATCAGCTTGTCCGTCCGTCCGGCTGTCCGTCCGTCCGGCCGTCCGTCCGTCCGGCCGTCGGTTTTTTCTTGTCCGCCCAATAACTTAAGATTCCTTTGACCCTTAGTCTTCATATTTGGCATGGAGGTTAGTCATGATTAGTAGATGACCCTATTGATTTTGAGGTCACTAGGTCAAAGGTCAAGGTCACAGGGGCCTTGACTTCAAAAAGCTTGTCCGCCCAATAACTTAAGATTCCTTTGACCCTTAGTCTTCATATTTGGCATGGAGGTTAGTCATGATTAGTAGATGACCCCTATTGATTTTGAGGTCACTAGGTCAAAGGTCAAGGTCACAGGGGCCTTGACTTCAAAAAGCTTGTCCGCCCAATAACTTAAGATTCCTTTGACCCTTAGTCTTCATATTTGGCATGGAGGTTAGTCATGATTAGTAGATGACCCCTATTGATTTTGAGGTCACTAGGTCAAAGGTCAAGGTCACAGGGGCCTTGACTTCAAAAAGCTTGTCCGCCCAATAACTTAAGATTCCTTTGACCCTTAGTCTTCATATTTGGCATGGAGGTTAGTCATGATTAGTAGATGACCCCTATTGATTTTGAGGTCACTAGGTCAAAGGTCAAGGTCACAGGGGCCTTGACTTCAAAAAGCTTGTCCGCCCAATAACTTAAGATTCCTTTGACCCTTAGTCTTCATATTTGGCATGGAGGTTAGTCATGATAAGTAGATGACCCCTATTGATTTTGAGGTCACCAGGTCAAAGGTCAAGGTCACAGGGACTTTGACTTCAAAAACTTTGTCTGCCCAATAACTTAAGATTCCTTTGACCCACAGTCTTCATATTTGACATGGATGTTGATCATGATTAGTAGATGACCCCTTTTGATTTTGAGGTCACTGGATCAAAGGTCAAGGTCATAGGGACTTTGACTTCAAAAAGTTTGTCCACCCATTAACTTAAGATTCCTTTGACCCACAGTCTTCATATTTGGTATGGATGTTGATCATGACTATAAGGTGACCCCTATTGATTTTGAGGTCACTGGGTCAAAGGTCAAGGTCACAGGGACCTTGACAAAAAAAAAGCTTTTCTTCTCAATTGCTAAAGAATGTCCTGTCCGCAATGTATTTATTTTGACATTTTCACATTTGAAGCATGTAGAATACATAACTTAGCAATGCACTGGCTTAGTAACCTCAGATTTGGCAGGGAGGTTGTCCTTGAGCTCTAAATGGCCACTGTTGATTCTGACAAAGTGGTATGCGGGGGTATTCACGCCATGATAGTGGCAGTTCTAGTTAAAACTGACTGTGCATAATCCTAAAACACTGTGTAATTAATATTGATGTTTGTGTGTGGATTTAGTTTTAATCTTTACATTTGCATAATAATATACTTAAAATTTACAGATTAAGTAGGAAGCTTAAACAGCTTTTTTGGAAACTCTCTTTCCATAAGTGTTAACTGTGTATGGATTTCATTGACATTGCAGTGTCGAGGTCTTGATTCTGTGTTGATTGCCATTTACTATTGTCAGTGTAGAGGTATTAATTGTGTGTTGATTTACTATTGGCTGTGTAGAGGTATTAATTGTGTGTTGATTTACTATTGCAGTGTAGAGGTATTAATTGTGTGTTGATTTACTTTTGGCAGTGTAAAGGTATTAATTGTGTGTTGATTTACTATTGCAGTGTAGAGGTATTAATTGTGTGTTGATTTACTATTGGCTGTGTAGAGGTATTAATTGTGTGTTGATTTACTTTTGGCAGTGTAGAGGTATTAATTGTGTGTTGATTTACTATTGCAGTGTAGAGGTATTAATTGTGTGTTGATTTACTATTGTAGTGTTGAAGTGGTGTTGAGAGCTGAGGCAGTTGAGATGGCACAAGCAGGAGATAAATGTGACTTTACCGGAACTCTTATTGTTGTACCAGATGTGAGCACTTTATCTACCGCAGGTTGGTCATTAAATGACATTTTAAATGGCTTTAAAAAATAAAAATTGATAAGTGTTGTGTAACATTTATAAGAAGACACTTTATAAGTGTCCTGATATTAAGCACAAACTGTTGAAGATTTATTTGGAATCACCATGACAGGTGACATCTTGATTTAAAATTGAAGAATTGAGATTCACTTGTGCTCAACATAATTTTTTATGCTCCCCGAAAAATTCGGGGGAGCATATAGTCGTCAGGCTGTCCGTCCATTAGTCCGTACGTATGGATTTTACTACTATGTCACAGAAATGATCACCATATTGAGACAACGTGACGCCCGCAGCATTTGGGTTGCTACCTTGCAGCAAAATCATGTCCGGCCTATAACTTCGTTATTTGAAGTCGGATTTTACCACTATTTCACAGAAATGATCACCATATTGTGACATGTCGCCAGCAGCATTTGGGTTGCTACCTTAAAGGTCAAGATCACAGCATGACCTTGCAGCAAAATCGTATCCGGCCCATAACTTCGTTATTTGAGGTCGGATTTTACAACTATTTCACAGAAAAGATCACCATATTGAGACGACGTGTCACGGGCAAGTTGGTAGTTAGATCTCATCGAGTAGATGTGCAGTGCAAAGAACAGTAACTCTGCCTAGCCTAAGTTTGGAATTATCTCATTTTGAACTTTGTCTGGGACATAACTCTCAAAACTACAAAAGTTATAGTTTTCTGTGTCCAAAACCTACCCGGTTCAACCGGCTCTTGTTTGGAAAGTCTGACAAGAGGAAATAGCATCTGAATAAAATCAAAGCTGTTTACTTACATCAAAAATTTTGAATCGGGGGTGGTGGTTAAGTTTTTCTTCTATGTAAAATGTTGCAGAGGGGATATCTGTTTACTGTAGTCTTGGAAATGAATATTTGTTCTGATACATTTAAGGTGCTAGAGCCGAGACTTCAGCTAAAGTATCAGCTAACTCAGGATATGAGAATGAAGGTGTACGAGGCCTGAAGGCACTTGGTGTACGAGACTTGAACTACAGAATGGCTTACCTGGCATGTACAGTCACCTCAACAAATGCAAGGGTGAGTCTATGTTATAACTTGAAAAATATATATGAGTTGATGATTTTGGTAATGACTAAAAAATGTCCGATATGGGAGGGATATGGATGGTGTATTGCTTGAATTTTGTGACTATGGAAGTTTATGATGATGGAATTTAAAAGTGTCATGTGAATGAGCTTTTAAATATGTTATACTTTGCGTAGAGGAAAAAACTTAGTCAAAACTGCCAGCCTCTTGTATTTCTTAGGTTTATGCTATACGGCAATTAAAGGTTGGTTCTTTTTCGACATACAACTTTTCAAAGAATTATTCAAAGGCCTCTTATTTCACTACCAAGCTCTTGCTTTGTGGACAACTCACATTTTCCATATTTTAGAGGAAAAAATGCTCTTGCTTTAGGAATGCCGTATTTTACTAGTTAAACTTATTGCCTGTAAATTTCCTGTAAAGTGGCTTTTTGCAGTAACTCACAATATAATGGAAGTGAAATTATTGAAACCATTTTCTCACCCTCCCTTATTGCCCTCTAGTTTGGTGGAAGCTCCTTGAAGGAGGAAGAAATGACAGCTGAGAATGTTAAGAAACAGATGACAGATGAAGAATGGCAGAAAGTTTACGAGATGTCCAGAGATAAAAATCTGTATCAAAATCTCTGCTCTAGTCTGTTCCCAACTATACACGGTAATGTTTTATACTTGGTTATATGTACAGTTATATCTCATTATGAGGGTTTATCTTAACTATTAGCCTGCTGGTATTGCTTGAATCTACCAATATGACCAGTGCAGGCCTAGGTCAGTGGGCACATCTATGCCATCTGATCATAGTCTGTATTTTTCGTTATTCAGTCAGTACTTGTTTTGAAATTTTTCCGTAAAAAAAATGATGGTTTTGGCCAGATTGAAATATTTCAAATGTTTAGTCACAAATTAGTGTGAGAGAGGTTAGGATAGGCAGGTATAATAAATGCCAGCCTGAAAGGAATGTAGAAGCACATTACCGGAAGTAGCAGTTTGACTTGTACATCTTAAAGGGCGTTTTACCCAGGCATCATGTCATTATTTAACCCCAGGTTCAAATGAGTTTGAATTGGTAGTTTCAAATCATTGCCTGTATCAAGATTCTTTATTCCAAACTTCTTGAAACTGCAGTTTAATGATTTGTATAAATTGGGAAGAACCTTAAAAACACTTAGAAAATGTGTGATTTACGCATGGAAATATTCCCTTAAAATGTAAATATTAGGTATTTAACCATTTTAAAATTTTGATGAAAATTGCCTTTTTGAAAGTTTCACTTGATGATTTTGTGTTCCTTTCAACATTCAAAGTGAAAGGTATTTCAGCATCAAAAAATCAAAAAAACAGTTGAATAAACCAACATTGTATGGTCTGTTTAGATATGCAGGCTGTCCTTGCTCTATGCTTATAGCAAATGCTGATAACTTTGGTTAAGGTTAAGCATCAGTATAAACATGTCACTCTCAATTAGAAATGTTTAAATCATTCTACTGTTGTTAATAAATAGAAAATGTTGCTACAAGATCCTGTAGTTAATTTGTTTTAGTTCATTAACAAAAAGTTGTATTAAGTTATTGTTAAGATAATTCATTTTTCTTTACAGGTAATGATGAAATAAAGCTAAGTTATTGTTAAGATAATACATATTTCTTTATAGGTAATGATGAAATAAAGCGAGGAATTTTGCTGATGTTGTTTGGTGGTGTTCCTAAACAGACGCTAGAACAAACAAAGCTTAGAGGTGATATAAACATCTGTATAGTTGGTGACCCTAGTACCGCGAAGTCGCAGTTCCTGAAACAAGTAGAGGAGTTCAGTCCACGTGCGGTGTACACCAGTGGGAAGGCAAGTACAGCAGCAGGTTTGACTGCGGCTGTTGTTAGGGACGAGGAATCTCACGAGTTTGTGATCGAGGCTGGAGCCCTGATGTTAGCTGATAACGGTGTTTGCTGTATTGATGAGTTTGACAAGATGGACCCAAAAGATCAGGTGGCAATTCACGAGGCTATGGAACAGCAGACCATCTCTATAACTAAAGCAGGCGTCCGAGTAAGTAGTATATGATCATAACAGATTAAGTAACTCAAAGTAAGTACCTCTGCATCTGTGTTTGAGTGGTTAAGGTCATTGACTTCAAGCCACTTGCTTTTAAGTTCTCACCACAGAAGTGTTGTCAGATTCTACATGTACAAGCTATCCAGCTAGCTTATAGAACGTCAGTGATTGTACTCATGTGCCTGAAATAATGTACAAACTACAAAGGGGCAACTGAGGTCTTCCTTCACCAGTAAATCTTGAAAGTCATTGTGTTGGTGCGACGTAAAACCCAACCCACCCAAAGATTACTTTGGTCATAAAAAAACGCTTCAGAAACCTCTATACAAAGAGAGATTTTGTATTTTATTGTCATTCAAATGCCACCTTTGATACTTTTCAATAGAGAATACTGGTCATATTTGCTTCAAGTTTTTTAAAATGTATGTATTTGTGACTTTTTGTTATTTTTTCTCAGGCTACATTGAATGCGAGAACATCTATTCTGGCTGCAGCTAATCCTATTGGAGGACGATATGACAGATCAAAGTCACTGAAGCAGAACATCACACTGACAGCACCCATCATGTCCAGATTTGATCTCTTCTTTATTCTTGTTGATGAATGTAATGAAGTAAGTTCTTGTAGATTTTCTCTGGGCATTGTATTCCCACCTTTCAAGTAGTGTATACAGAATTTATATAAGTTTGATTGTGTAGGAAGCTATAAGCTTATTACTGTACAATGGAATCCATTCCTGGAACCAACAGTTACTGAGCAATTTGGAAAAAGATTTTTGTTCAAGAAAACAACGGCTTGTCCCTGACATTTTTATATCCCCGAAACGAAGTTGGGGGTGGGGGTGTATATAGGAGTCACTCGATGGTCGGTCGGTCAAGCCGTCCGTTGCATTTTCCTTGCCGGAGCATAACTTGAAGACTAATGGTTGGAATTCAATATAACTTCATACAATGGTCAAGCACATTGAGAGGAAGTGCTGTGCACAATAACCATAACTCCATCTTGACTAATAAAGAGTTATTGCTCTTTGTTACTTTTCCTTGTCTGGAGCATAACTTGAAAATTATTGGTTGGAATTCAAAACAACTTCATTCAATGGTCAAGCACAATAAGGGAAAGTGCAGTGCACAAGAACCATAACTCTATCTAAAGTAATTACAAAGTTATTGCCCTTTGTTACTTTACCATTGCTTTCTTTTGTCCGGACCATAACTTGAAGACTAATGGTTGGAATTCAATATAACTTCATACAATGGTCAAGCACATTGAGAGGAAGTGCTGTGCATAATAACCATAACTCCATCTTGACTAATACAGAGTTATTGCCCTTTGTTACTTTTCCTTGTCTGGAGCATAACTTGAAAACTACAAGTTGGAATTCAATACAACTTCATACAATGGTCAAGCACAATAAGAGGAAGTGCAGTGCACAAGAACCATAACTCCATCTTGGCGTATTACAAAGTTATTGCCCTTTGTTACTTTTACTTGTCAGGAGCATAACTTGAAAACTACAAGTTGGAATTCAATGCAACTTCATACAATCATCAAGCACATTAAGAGAAGTGCAGTGCACAAGAACAATAACACCATTTGACAAATAACAGAGTTATTGCCCTTTGATACTTTTCCTTGTCCGGAGCATAACTTAAAAAACTAATGTTAAGAATTCAATAAAACTTCATTCAATGGTCAAGTGTAATGAGAGGAAATGCAGTACTCAACAAGCCTAACTCTTTTTGGACTTTTTACAAAGTAATTCAATAAAACTTCATCAATCACAATGGTCAACCATATTGAAAGGAAATGCAACATTTATCTTTCATTGCCCACAACCATAACTCTATTTCAGTTCTTTTGCAAGGTATTCTGTTACTAGTAACTTCCTCATTTCCGAAGCAGTCTTGCGGGGGTATTAATCACATTTAGTGATAGTTCTAGTTTGATTTATTGAAAAGATGAACTGGCATTGCAGATTTCAGAAACAATGAAAACAAGTTACAAGTAGTTTCACATCGCATGCTTGTAAATGCCTAAAGAACTTTAGATTTCATTATATAAATAGATTCTGTTCAACTTGCCTATTCAAAAAAACGGAAAACTATGTTATTTCTCAAATGATTCATTGAAGTTTGACTCTTCAACATTAGAGATTAAATTTTTTATATTTATATGTCCTTTTAATGGTCTTTCACATAAATACTAAAAAAAAAAAAAAAAAAAAAAAAAAAAAAAAAAAGTTAAAAGACTAATTTATACAATTGAAGAAGCAGACAAGAATAATTAAAGAGCATTATTCTTCTGTAATAAATGTAATAAATTAAATTAGCTTATCAAATTTGTAAAGAGTTATGATAAATTATAGAACTACGTGTCAGTGCATTAGGTAATAATATTAATATTTGTAGGTAACAGATTATGCTATAGCCCGGCGTATTGTAGACCTTCACAGTCGTAACGAGGAGTCAGTAGATCGTGTTTACTGTGTGGAGGATATTATGAGATATCTGATGTTTGCCAGGCAGTTCAAACCCAAGGTAATTGCTAATCTATGAAAGCATTAGTCAAGTGTTTACCACATACAGAATCTGTATTATAATTGAAAGATTAAATGCAGAGCTTCTTTCTAACATTGTTTCTAATGAATGAAAAATATCAACCTATGTAATGAAAACAACATTTATTTAATGCAGAGGTTATTTTGTGTCTTATTTGTGAGTTAAAAAATGAAACGCTGACTGCAACTTAATATGGTTGAAGCAGTATTATTACTACATATCATATACCTGTCCTGATTTTGTGACTGTATAAAATGGTATTGCACAGCCGTGCATATGTTTTGGCATGATGTCATTTGCCTTACACCAATGTAGTGTAAAGACCAGCTAAATGTTAGCATGATGCTATAGACGTATCAATGAAAATGATTCATTTTGACTTTAAACAGAGGCTCGCATATTACAATTTTATTCAACTTTTTCAATTAATTCAGTATTGAACCTTCATTTAATATCCTTAATTTACGATAAGCGTTTCTAGAATTCTATGAATTTTGTGTTAAATGTAATCTTAGTTTTAAGAAATATGAAATATGAGCATTCAGTAAGGTTATTGTCTTTACTTGAACCAAATAGAATGAATATATGTGAGCAAGTTAGTTATTGTTGATATCTTGTAACAGATCAGTAAGGAAGCACAGGATTATATGATTGAGGAATATAAGAGACTAAGACAAAGGGACGGCACTGGGGCAGCCAAGTCAGCGTGGAGGATCACAGTACGTCAGCTGGAGAGTATGATCCGGTTGTCGGAGGGTATGGCCAGGATGCACTGTCAAGATGAGGTATAATTGTTGTGGTGATTTTTTTTAGAACGGTTAATGTTGAGGAATGTAAAGTTTTGTGATTATAGTTCTTTGGACCTAGTGATGTCCTATAAACAATACTTGTATCAAGATAATTGAAGTATTAACTGATGATGTAACTGAAAAATTAATTTTGATATTGGATTTAAATTGACTAAAGTGTACCTTATATATTCAGGTTCAGCCCAAGCACGTGAAGGAAGCGTTCCGGTTGTTGAACAAGTCAATTATACGTGTAGAACAACCAGACATTCATCTAGAGGAGGAGGAGGACGAACAAGATCAACAAGATGTCGAGATGGAAGTTGATGAAAGTGAGTCAAATGTTCGCATTATTTTATAGCCATATCATCAAATAACCAAATGTATATGGCTAGAGTTTGTTGCTTCCCTTGGATTAACTAAATGCACTATACCCCTGGTTTAACCAGTGCAGTGCAATAGATAAGTTGCTAAACCAAGTGCATTAAGAAATATTTAATTGCTGGCCTTGGTTGAACCAGACTTGGTTGCTTCCCTTGGTTTGAGAACGAGATATTTTTGAAACTGTTGTATATCACTGAAATGCTTTCAAAGCTCAAAATAAAATTACTTGCAACATTATTCTAGATTTTTATGCCCCCACAATGTGGGAGCATATAGCGTTGCACTTGTCCGTCCGTCCGTCTGTCAGTCTGCACGCACTACCGAATAAGGATAGGGGGCCATCTAACTGTAAACAGAACAAAAGAGAACAATAGAGTTCATTCCGTAACAATAGAGTTAGGGGCCATTGGCCCTCTATTAAACAATAGAAAATAACAAAAGAAATGGCCCCTTATTCCATTTCAGCCGGACGTCCGTCCGTATGTCCCGAAATCTTGTGAACGCAACTCCTCTTAAACCGGATGGCAGATTTTGCTTAAACTTACAGGGATGAACAACCTTAATGTGTAGATAGTAGTAAAGGAAGGAATTTTCACTGCGACCAAATTTTACAGAATTATGGCCCTTTGTTGATTTTTTCACTATATACTATGTAGAAATTTTGTGAATGCAACACCTCTTAAACCGGATGGCAGATTTTGCTTAAACTTCCAGGGATGAACAACCTTAATGTGTAGATGGTAGTAAAGGAAGGAATTTTTGCTGCGACCAAATTAAACAGAATTATGGCCCTTTGTTGATTTTTCACTATATACTATGTAGAAATTTTGTGAATGCAACTCCTCTTAAACCGGATGGCAGATTTTGCTTAAACTTACAGGGATGAACAACCTTAAGGTGTAGATGGTAGTAAAGGAAGGAATTTTTGCTGCGACCAAATTTTACAGAATTATGGCCCTTTGTTGATTTTTTCACTATATACTATGTAGAAATTTTGTGAACGCAACTCCTCTTAAACCGGATGGCAGATTTTGCTTTAACTTCCAGGGATTAACAACCTTAATGTGTAGATGGTAGTTAAGGAAGGAATTTTTGCTGTGACCATAATTTAACAGAATTATGGCCCTTTGTTGATTTTTAGTTTTCAACTTGTGGCACATGTAGTCCAAAAAATATTTGACCTAGAGTCATAAGATTGACAGAACAGTGGCGTGTTGGGGCATCCGTGTCCTATGGACACATTTCTAGTTATAGGCGACTTTAGTTTTTAATTTAATTTTAGAATTATCACGTAAACTGCAGGTAAGACATGTTTGTAAGAGAATAAATATTGTATATTAATATATTAAACATTTTTTTCAACTATGAGATAATATAAGCTTTATTTGATTTGTTTAGATACTCCACCAGCTACTGATAAGCCCGAGGAGAACCAAGCAGCTGCTGGTCACCCGAAGAAGGGCCTCAAATTGTCATATGATGAGTACAAACAGATGGCTAACCTCATGGTATTGTACATGAGGAAATCGGAGGAAGAATCTGATGGTAAGACACAATGTTTTATGTCCTATTGCTGCAGCCATCTCACCACTGTGGTGATGTTTTGTGTTACATTTAATAAAGGTTTTGCATGTGACTTTGGAATCTTGCAAGCACTAAGATATAAGGGTCATAGTTATTGTTTACTGTTCAATACTTGTATCTCAAGCATGGATTCTCTTGAGGGACAAAGTCTGTCTGTCTCATCTGAAGCATTTCTTTACTTGTTCCAATGATAATTATCAAGTAAATTCTGTAAATTATTTCTTTTGTCCATATAGGCAGTGGGACAGTCTGAACAAGGCTGTCCAATATAGACAATTGATTTGCTGTTTCTGAATTTTACTCAATTATGCACACTTGGGAAATGTTTTTGTTTTGTGTGCAAGTTGGGTATCTTTAAGTGTGCTTCATGCTGAACTTTTCGAGTCCTAATTGAATATTGTCGTTTAACATATACCAGTAGATTTTATATCGTTGTAATTTGATTCCTATCTTTCAGAATCTGACACCGCTGGTTTACGTCGCAGTAACCTGATAAGCTGGTACCTTGGTGAGATGGAGAGTGAAATCGAATCCGAGGCGGAGCTCATCGAGAAAAAATCTGTGGTAGAGAAAGTACTAGATCGCCTAGTACATCATGTAAGTTGTTACGTTAAATAAGACCGATATGAAACTATTTCATTTTTAATGAACGTTGTATTAACCAACAAAGGGGATTGCTAGCAAGTTTTGGGAACAGAAGCTAAAGGGGATTATAATTCCTGGTCAGTCATTACATACAAGAAAGTTTAATTTTGTTGCTTTACCTGGCGTTATAAAGTTGTAGTGAAGAAGAGTGACATGGAACCTATTTCATTTTTAATGAACTTGTATTGACTAACAATAGGGGATTGCTACAAAGTTTGGGGACCAGAAGCTAAAAAGATATTATTCCTAGTCATTAATTACATATAAGAAAGCTCAATTATTGTTGTTATATTACCTGGCATAACAAACTTGTACGAAACAGAGTGTATTCTGAAATTAGCTTGTCTACTCGTACATTTTTTTGATCAGACGAGTATAAAGGTGAAACTGTAAAGGTGGTTTGATTTAGTAAGTGCATAGTGTAACAACTATAATACATCTTATATATGTCATAATTTAGGATTTATTTACTATGTTTACAGGACCATGTTCTTATTGAGCTAACACAGACTGGACTTGGGAAAAGATTAAAAAAAGATGATGAGAGTTTAATTAAAGAGGATGACCCATTCCTTGTTGTACATCCAAACTATGTGGTGGACTGAGAGACCAAAAAATGTAGAATTCACAAATCTGTATCTGTTATTACTCCAAAATGAAATTTACAAGATCTGAAACTTACGGTTCGAAATAATATTTCTTTAAACCTTTTGTAACAAAGCATTGATATTTTTGTCAGCAAAATATTTTCAATTTACTTTTATAATCATTGATTTATTACATAGATTAATTCTTGTTGGGGTAAAAAAAAGAATTGTGTTGTAGTTAAATAACAAAACAGTAAGGATTTCCTTTAAAGTGCACTCGATCTATAAACTTAGCACCATTGGGTAGGGTATTGCAAGTTGCATTGTTAATTTACTTGCACACAATCTGCAATTATTTAAGAAGATTTTGTACAATATATCAGATTATGATAAATTGGATTATGCTTTGTCTTTTGTAATCTATATACAATTTGCCTGTCTAAATTTTTACGTATATTTTGTACATGTTCAATATATATGATGATTTTTGATATACATAAATAATCTAAGCTGGTAACGGGACCAATTTTGTACAATGTTCACCAGAATATTTTCAGTATGTGTTCAAAAAATCATGTGTTCACTTGTTACAAATTTTGTTATGTTTAAGAATATGTGTTTAAAACTAATGTGTTCAAAAAACCTTGTTATCTATAAGGGTATGTGTTCAAAGGTGATGTGTTCATCCAACTATTCTTGTTATCTATAAGGGTATGTGTTCAAAGGTGATGTGTTCATCCAACTATTCTTGTTATCTATAAGGGTATGTGTTCAAAGGTGATGTGTTCATCCAACTATTCTTGTTATCTATAAGGGTATGTGTTAAAAAATAATGTGTTCAATTGTAAAAAAATGCTTTTTCTTTGAAAAAAAAATATGTTTGATATCTTTTTCTTGGTACTCTATACTTCCAGTAATACATAATTGTATAAAACTTTTGTCATTTAAGTCTTTGTATTGTTTTATACAAACTTAACTGTAGAGACTTCTTTTGTTGAAAAATTATTAGAAATGATTTTGAACTTTTTAAGAAGACCCAATTAACTGTAAGTGCTTGTATGTTATAAAATATTTGTTCTGTAAATAAGTCACTATTGAGATAATTAAAAAGAAAGAAAAATAGAAATTTAGAAGAAAAAAAAATGGATATATTGTTTTCTTGTTTATTACATTGATAACTCGTTCTGATATCTTGAGTCCATATCTACACCTTGAGCTCACATCAGCAGATTACGAGAGCAGATTTAGATTTTGTTTTCGGCCAAATCTGGCTTGAGGTCTTAAAAAGTGTAATGTAAGCAGCTTCCCAGATCTTGTTTTCCATGCAACCGCCATAAAATGGCAGGGGCATATAGTGTAACCCAATTCCTTCATTATCTTGGCAACGGTTGCACATGGTTCGATGATTTTTGGCGAGTTATGCCCCTTTAACTTTGAAAAAAATCAGCTTCCCTCTGTTGTACACATTCAACTCGAATTTGACATATGGAGACGTCCACGTAGATCGAATTTATATGGTTTGATGATTTCTGACTGAGTTATTCCCCTTTAAAAAAGAACTTTGAAAAAAAGAAATTTTCAGTTTTCGTTCACTATTTCCCCAGTAGTTGTTCATTCACATTCAACTCAAATTTAACATACGGATATGTTACAGGAATGTGCAGGCCAAGTTCAAATTTGGCTCGGTGAATTTTTGGCAGTTTTCCCCCTTTATCTTTAAAAAAAAAATTGTTTCCGTTCATTATCTCCCACAATTGTACACATTTAACTTGACTATGTCAGAAATGTGCAGTCCAAGTACGAATTTGGTGATGGTTCATATACCCCCAAAACGAAGTTTGGGGGGGGGGGGGGTATATAGGAGTCACCCCGTAGTCGGTCGGTCGGTCCAGACGTCCGTTGCATAATCCTTGTCCCGAGCATAACTTGAAGACTAATGGTTGGAATTCCATATAACTACATACAATGGTCAAGCACATTGAGAGGAAGTGCAGTGCACAAGAGCCATAACTCTATCTTGACAAATTACAGAGTTATTGCCCTGTGTTACTTTTCCTTGTCCGGGGCATAACTTGAAAACTGCTGGTTGGAATTAAAACAACTTCATACAATTGTCAAACACAATAAGGGGAAGTGCAGTGCACAAGAACCATAACTCTATCTAAAGTAATTACAGAGTTATTGCCCTTTGTTACTTTTCCATTGCTTCTTTTGTCCGGACCATAACTTGAAGACTAATTGTTGGAATTCATTATAACTTCATACGATGGTCAAGCACATTGAGAGGAAGTGCAGTGCACCAGAACCATAACTCTATCTTGACTAATTACAGAGTTACTGCCCTTTGTTACTTTTCCTTGTCCGAGCATAACTTGAAGACTACTGGTTGGAATTAAAAACAACTTCATACAATTGTCAAACACAGTAAGGGGAAGTGCAGTGCACAAGAACCATAACTCTATCTAAAATAATTACAGAGTTAATGCCCTTTGTTACTTTTCCATTGCTTTCTTTTGTCCGGACCATAACTTGAAGACTTTTTGTTGGAATTCATTATAACTTCATACAATGGTCAAGCACATTAAGAGGAAGTGCAGTGCTTAAGAATCATAACTCCATCTTGACTTATTACAAAATTACTGCCCTTTGTTACTTTTCCTTGTCCAGAGCATGACATGAAAACTACTGGTTGGAATTCAAAACAACTTTATACAATGGTCAAGCACAATGAGGGGAAGTGCAGTGCACAAGAACCATAACTCCATCTTGACGAATTACCAGACATGGGGCGATTACTTGAAAATTGTAATCGATTAAATTATGATTATTTGTCAAAATGCTTGATTAAATTAAATTACTGATTACTCCATTTTGACATTGTAATTGATTAAATTACTGATTACTGACAGGAGTAATCAGATTAAATTTATGATTACTGATTACATGTACATAAGTTAAGAAAATTATTGCAATGGCTCAACACTATCGTTTTATTGAACATTTCAATACAACAAATGTCCAAAAAAATAATCCAGCTTAGTTTTACAGTAATTAATTCAGTCTCATATCTCACTTTTGTCAGTTATTGCAGCTTATTCTTGCTCTTTACTGAACCTGTAAAGTCTTCTCCATAAGTGATAATATACCTATCCAGGCCATTCTTATAATTTCACAGCTAAATTTAAGTGGTATAATTGTGACAATCATTTATGTATTTGGTCAATCTGTCAGTGATCTTTTCATCACCTTATTAAAACACAGGTGTCATCAAATCTGACCTGGGTGACTGCATTTAATTCACCTACACTACCTAAGACAATTAGTAGGCATTAACACTGGTACTTTTTTATACGCCCGTTTGAAAAACGGGACGTATTATGGGAACGCCCCTGGCGGGCGGGCGGGCGGCGTCCAATTTTGTCCGGAGCATATCTCCTACATGTATGGAGGGATTTTAATGAAACTTCATAGAAATGTTCACCACTATGAGGAGCAGTAATTACAGAGTTATTGCCCTTTATTACTTTTCCATTGCTTTTTTGTCCGGAGCATAACTTGAAGACTAATGGTTGGAATTCAATATAACTTCATACAATGGTCAAGCACATTGAGTGGAGGTGCAGTGCCCAAGAACCATAACTCCATCTTGACTAATTACAGAGTTATTGCCCTTTGCTACTCTGGACTTATTACAGAGTAATTCAATAAAACTTCATCAATGGCCAACCACATTGAAAAGAAATGCAACAAACAAGAACCGCAACTATCTTTAATTGCCCACAACCATAACTCTATATTTCAATTCTTTTACAAGGTATTCTGTTACTAGTAACATCCTCATTTCCGAAGCAGTCTTGTGGTTAGTGATAGTTCTAGTTAATTTTGGACAGTTATCCCTCTTGAACTTTAAAAAAAGAAATTTTCAGTTTCCATTCAATACCTCAACAGTTGTACAAATTCAACTCAAATTTAATAATATATCATAGGGATATGCAGGTCAAGTTCTTAGTTCGATGATTTTTGACGGAGTTATCCCTCTTGAACTTTGAAAAAAAATCCGTTTCCGTTCATTATACACTTTCAACTCAAATTTGACATGTAGATACATCGTATGAATAAGCAGGTGAATTTTAAATTTGGTCATAGTTTGATGATTTTGGACAAAGTTTTCCCTTTTGAAGTTTGGAAAATAGTGAAATTTTCGGTTCCGCACTCATACTGTAGAGTATGTGTGAGGTTGAAATCGCATGTACAGGTATTTCAACAGAAAATAGAAGTCAATTCGAATTTGGTTTTGGTCTGATGATTTCTGTTATTCTGCTTGAACTTACAGGTCAAGTCCTTGAACTTGGATGGTTTGTGCTAGCATCAATAGTTTAAGTTTAACGAACTTTTGGCTGCATCCGTGGCGTGAAAACACATTTTCAGTTTACTAAGATGTTATAAGAAACCGAATCGTACGGAATTCCATAAACGACAGCCTACTGTTTACTGTCAACTGCCTACTGTCAACTGCTTACTGTCAACTGCCTACTGTCAACTGCTTACTTTAAACTGCTTAATGCTTACAGCGACTGTTTAATGCTTACTGTTAATTGATAATTAAATGCCTACTGCTACACCTGTCTAATAGCCGATTAATTGCCCGAGAGTAAATGTTGACTTTTTATGTCCTTCTTCCAATGTGTTTATATGTTACAATGAGGCCGTTTGAAACAGTATTGGTCAAGGAATTACTCAGTATCATTTATGAAGACTTTGACTGAAACCTTGGAACTTGTTACATTTATACATGTACATGTATAATTCTCGTTTTACTAAGCAGAAAAATAAGTATATATTTTTGCAGGCATCTGGAGTTTTTCCAAATCATAGACCTGTGAACTTTATAGAAATTTTAAACTAACCAAATATTACAATTTTTTTCTGCCTTAAATCTTGTTCGGTAATTTTGAGCTACCAAATATAACTGCTTGCTTAATTATATATACATGTATATCCCTGTTCAAGCTTAGATACATCTACCATATAACATGTATATTATTATATTTGTTCATTAAATGATATTGACCCTACCCTACAACTATAGAACTTAATGGTGTTTTTAAACGGAGGCCTTGTAATGAACGTCTTTGTTTTTACATTTAAATCACAATGGTCAGTTTTAAGTTCGAATTTTGAAAAATACTAGTATGCTATAATGTTTTGTTAAAAAATAATCTAGGTAATGGTTCTCAAAACACAGATATATAGATTTTCAGAAAAAATATATATACCAGTCACGTCTCGGATTACCAGTAGTTTATTCTGATAAACGTTAAACGTACTGGAAGAGTATACACACTTCATGCTCCAAATAATACATGGAACCGTTTAATTTTTAGTTCTATCTAAAACAAAGTTAATTAGTATTTAATTGTCCTGGTGATAGTAGACCGTACATTTATACCTTAATTCTACAAAGCCTTAGATTTGACTCAAGAAATTGTTACTTTAGTAGATGTTAAAAAAGCATGATGAGTAACATGTCAATTATTGTGTTATAATTAGAAAGTCGATGCATAATAAAATCATTGAAAGATCTTTGAGTTTGTTAGTATTTGTTTATCGATATGATGAACTGCGGTATCCTAAATTTGAGTCACTGTAATGCCTTCCGCATGTAATTTCTTAGTTTTTGCCTGTGTTAAATTCTGATTTTTATAATTTATGATAAAGGCATTAAAACCATCGGATAGAAAACAGATGAATCAATATATTGTTGGGCATCCGTCTTTTTATTTCATTGTCTTAAGAGAAGAGTGTTTAGGTTAACTTGTAAAGCTGTTTTGAAGAAATATATTCAGTTAACTTGCCAGATATTGGAGCTTCAGATGTATTTCTTGTTTTTTTTGTTTGTTTTGGGTTTTACGTCACATCGACACAGTATAGGTCATATCGCGACGTTCCAGCTTTACTGGTGGAGGAAGACGTCAGGTGCCCTTCCGTGCATTATTTCAGGCACGAACGGGCACCTGAGTAGAACCACCAACGTTCCGTAAGCTAGCTGGATAGCTTCCTCACATGAAAGAATCCAAAGTCCCTGTCGGGATTCGAACCCACAGAGGTGAGGGGCAAGTGGTTTGAAGTCAACGACCT